ACAAATTCTTCAGTCTTCAGGTGGGGGGTGATGGGAGTTTTCCAAATAATTTATTGTAATCTTTCGTCTATTCTGTTCGTTTTTCGATAAAAATCATTTGAGTTTTGTCTCAAATGCGAAGCTTGAAGGGATTTCAAAACTTTTTACAAAGCGACGAAGGAGACGAGTGTTCTAATAAAATTTATTTTATAGTTTTTCGCAGAAAATATGTTAAGATTGTCTTTTTCATTGTACCGCAACAACCATTTGTGGTGCCGAACCCATTTTTCTTTCCATCATTGGATAGATAATTAGAAATCCCATTCACCAATGATTGGAATGATCAAACCCGATTAAGAAAATAAGAGCAGTTTTGACACAAAATGACAAATTTTCAGAATAGCAGTAATTTGATCAGAATTTGGCAATAATGGAAAACCGCTCAAACACAACGCCACCGTTTTCCTCATTCTCAAAAATTAGTTGTTACTGAGCCCGCTTTTCCACCATTGACTAGAGAATAAAAACCGCAATTCGCCAATGGAAACTTGATTGAACAAATAGTAGTAGTTTTTACAAAACAAGCAAAATATGTGGTCTCATGATCAGGTTGATAGAGGGGATCCATGTACTAGAGGTATATGAGATCTATCATGAAATGTTTGAAATATCATGATAGAAAAATTTAGAAATTTGCTCAAATATGACGCAGCCTTCTTCGTCCTCAATCTCAAGAACGACTTGCGTTACAGACGACCTCGTTTTTCTATCACTGGATTAAGAATCTAAAATTTTATCAGAACTCCTTTAAAGTTGGAGAATTTGCTACAACCCTAAAGTAAAAAAAAACAGCTTTCAAATCACGCAGTTTGTAAAAAAATTTTTCGAGAAAAGTTATCGAAAGCTACTACTCGAATAAAGCTATCAAAAGCTCTAAAACTGACAAATATATCTAATCGATATTTTTCAAACTTTATTACCCTTATCTGCCATTTTTTGGCGATGCGAAACACCCTGTATACACTTCAAAGTCTTGCTATTACTCAAGAGTGTAAAGTTGGGGAAAAATATCACGGTAAATTAATGAAAAATGAGGTAATGGAAATAGTAAAGTTAATGAAAAACATCAAGGCACACTAGTCTCGCCTCTATTTGAGTATGCAACCAAGCAAAAAATTAGTTTCACTGTATTTCTTTGCTAAAGTCAATCAAATTGTACATTTGTGAAACGGTCTAAAACAAAGCATTTTTCAAATCAGTCAATCGATTTAACTTTAGCAAAAGAACATGAGCGTTTCCTTCGAACTATTTAACATAAGGTTTCAGTATACTTAGTAGTTGTTAATCGACACAGACACGATCAGTAAGCTGAGCTCCTACGGAACTCCTACCAGTTAATCACTAACCTTGCATTTGCAAGTAACGCACGGATCTTCGGGGTCCAAAAATTCCGAACCCGACTGATACATGACGCTTTTCAATGTACAGTTGCTTCCGAAGTTTGATGAGTAGTTTCCCAGGGAGCATAAATCTCCGCAATGAGGACAACAGTCGCCTGGTGAATGAATGGGGTTGGAGCAGATCAGTGGTGGGCATTTTAACTCCCAGCAGTCGATTTCACCGAAGAGACATTCGCAGGTTTGACACTGGTAGGACCATCTGAAATTCGATCAAGATGTTAAATACGAAAAATTGAGGCGAACAGAGCTTTGGCTCTTCAACGGCTGTGGCAAATACGCACCTTTCGCCATGCATAAACAAAACATCATTCAATTCCTGATGTCTGCAAGCATGTCTGGAGTCGCATTGAGGACAGCATGCATCCGAGGAGGATTTGGTGCAGTCGCATTTCGGTTGCTCGCAACTGATTACGCCTTTTTTACACGTGCAACTCATACAAGGATTGAACTTCGATTGAACCGTAATTCCATGGGCGACTTCCCGGTCTTCATAGACGCAACTGTATCGACAATCGACCGATTCTCGTGGACATGAACACTCGAAGCCTCCGTCTTTGTTCACGCATTGAGCCGATGAATGGCAGGTGTGGTGAGATTCTTCGCATTCATCGATATCTGGAAGCGGGCAATTTTATATTTAAGTACCATGCCAGGTTTTCGGGAAATTTTCGTACGTACCCACGCATGAAGTTCCAAGGTTGTTGTCTGGTACTGGTCCTTCATAGCCATGTTTGCATTGGCAATAGTACCAACCCATCATGTTGATGCATGTGGAGGAATTGGTGCATCTATGCGCATTGGTAGCGCATTCATCCAAATCTCTTTCGCATGAGGTTCCAGTGTACCCTCCTGGGCATGAGCATTGGCCTGGCTTGAGGCACACACCTCCGTTTAGGCATCCTGGTGTACAAATCGCTAGAATGGGGAAAATCATTTCAACATTACTATTGAGTTTCTTCTGAGGTACTCAATTGATCACACAGAGTAATGATAATAAATGTTTATTGAACTTGACAATAACAAAAGACAAATAAAAAAAACCGTTTGAATATCGTGACGACCAAGTAAACGCAGTTACTTTCCCGGAGGTTGTCACTTTACTGACTACTACAACGTCGCAGCGGTCAGTGCATCCCTAAACATATGATGCTACCTGAGGACCCAAACACATGCAACACATTTTAGAAAGCTATACCTAACTTATGCTAAGACATTAAAAATAACATATTTTTATTCAACAATTACCAAATAGAATCTGCGAAGTATTAGTATAGTGAACATGTTTTTGAAGTGATAACTTCTTATGGCACGGTGTAATGGAATGCGTTACGGCGCTGTTATGTTTGGCCGTCCTCAGCCTGCGATCACTTGCTTAAGCATTAGGCGGGTAGTGTGTAGTCTGAGGGCGGATGTTCTTTGGACGTTTGCGTCCGAACAGCTTTTGTCACCAATTGTGGCCTTAGGCCAGTCGTCCTTAGCACTCGGTTCGGACAAAAACGCATCCAAAGAAGAACCGGCCTTAAGATTCCAGTTTACTGGTCCAAAGCTACTATAAATTACCATTCATTCTCAGTGGAGATTTTAATGTTGATTTTTCTTCTGATAGACCGTAAAATTTTAAAATTTGCAAAATGAATGCGCTTTCACATTTAAGAGTTACTAACCAGGATGAAGTGGAAATCAAATCATATTAAGAAAGTTTGTCATCAGGAACATCAGCTATTGTCAGAAGATGTAACGCGAAATTAAATATTTCTCATTTCCTGAGCTAGTTAGCGGTAGAAATTGTAAAAAATCGCCAGGATCTGAGTGTTTGGTGCTAGGCCTGTGTAACTCAGAGAATTTTTAGAAGTTGGCGCAACGCAAATGGCTTGGTGCGCCAACCCAACGCACCGGCGCAGTAACTCAGTTGCATTGCTGGGAAAATTTTGATGACTTTTTTCATTTTTATTTGATGATTTGATATTGACAATGATTTTTTTAAAGACAATTTATTAATAATATTTTTAAAATGTCTTCAAATTTCAGAACTTTCCAGTTTTAGCCAAGTTATTCATCGGTTTGCAGGGAACTTTAGAAAACCCATTTTATCTTCTAATTTGGCACAAAAACTAAATAAATTTATTCAGTTTTTTACCGAAAGTAATTAGGATTCTCTTGAAAATACGACCAGAGCAAAAGTTTACAAACATTTTTTGGGAAAATTCGCTGCTCTCATCGCTCTGAGGATTTCTAAAGTTCCTTTAAATTTTCAGGTCATTCCGGTTTTAACAAAGTTTCTATTAACCAAATACTGCCAATCTTCAGGTATCTTCTGTGCAAAAAAAATTTGCAAAATAAATGAGCTTTCACATTTAAGAGTTATTAACCAGGATGAAGTGGAAATCAAATCATATTAAGAAACTTGGTCATCAAGAACATCAGCTATTGTCAGAAAATGTGACGCGAAATTAAATATTTCTTGATGGCTGAAACGCAAGTGGCTTGATGGCTGAGAAAATGTTGATGACTTCTTTTACTTTTATTTGATGATTTGATATTGACAAATGTTTTTAAAATGTCTTCGAATTTCAGAACTTTCCAGTTTTAGCCAAGATACTCTTTCTTCTAAATGCTCAATTTTCTAAAGTTTCAGAAAAATGCTTATCAAGGTATTTTCCGCAAAAGAAAGAAAAATCAAATAATTTTCTATGAAAAACGAGCAGAATAAGCGAAGGTTTATAACAGATATTTGGAAATCGCGTTACCTCCATTCGTCTTAAAAAATGTGGTTTTTTAATATTGACCGATTTTTTTTTTATAATCATTTAGAAGTTTATAATCATTTATTTGGAAAACTCTTGGAAACTCGGGTTTTTTCACTGTTGGGTCAATATTTGTAAACAATGTGCAAATTCCAGTTTCGGGTCTCGTAAAGCTTTAACAAATGAATTATAACTCATCAACGGATGAGTTATAACTCGTTAACTCACAGAGTGGCAACAACTCAATAGCGCAACTCAACACAGTGTTACCCAGTCTTATTTGGTGCACTAATCCGACCTTTCAAGAGTTTTAGCACTCATTTTCTACACACACCTAAATTCACCAGCAAATCATAAATAGATCAATTCAACTTACGAGTGCATTGGTATCCATCTCCTTCATACCCGTCTCTGCATTGGCACTTGTAGCTGCCCTCAGTGTTGACACAGTCTGCATTCAAATGGCAATTGTGGGCGCCTGTTGAACATTCATCCAGCTCAGCACAGTTGAAGCGATCCACTCGCACGTACCCATCCAGACAGTGGCACTCGTACGAGCCGGGCGTATTTACGCAATGGGTGTTGGAGTGGCAATGATGGCCTTCTCGGCCTCCTTCTTGCTGGCATTCATCTATATCTATAGAAAATCGTCAGATGTTTTTTTCTATTTTCTGCTAGTTTTATCTACTGCTTCTTATTCATTCTAAAACTCCATTAGCAAAGTTTTTTTGAAATAAAAAAATGAATTTTGAGCATGAGTGTTTGAGAGTGTCAGATTTCATTTTTATATCTGAACGTATTTCTAATATTCCAAAAAAAACATTCAAATAAACTTTTCAGAGAAAACCGACGTGGAAGATAACTTGCGAGTAACGAAAAAATCCATCTGGTTTAAGTTTCTTTTGTATAATTTGTACATTTTTCTTAAACTCGGATTGAGCTATCCGTTGCCAAGTAAATGCATTATCAATGATATCTCTAGTAAAGTTTTCCCGAGTTCTAGACATTTCGTGCAAGTTCCCCTGAAACTGAATAATACATTAGACTGACTTTCGATTTTATGCCATAGACAGAAAACTCCTTAGATCGGCTGAGATATTGCAATGAAACTACGCAGAAATACGAAAGGTGAAATGCTCTCTTTATATCTGCAATGTTAGATAACAATGTGGCGAAGCTATTGATTTTTATTTATCTCCAATTATATCTCAGTTCCGCCCAGTTCGGGCAGTTTCTTAGCAAAAATGCGGCCAACTGTCCTTACAGGATGGATTAAACAAACAGTATGTAATCTACTCGATTAAGACCGGAAGAATATGTGGATTAACAGTTACAAAGGAGTGGCTGCGTTAGAGAAGATGCTGCTCGCCTCCTCAAATCTATAAAAAATGTTTTTAATCCGCAAAGCTGATGTGGATGGAGAATCTGTGATTTCCGCTTTCGATTTCCATTACTGCAAGAAAAATTATTTTCGTCGCTCTGCGTTTAAACATGAAGAGGTTGCTTATCATCATGAACTGAAAAAACTTGTCTTTTTCGTATATTCCTTTATTTTGATCTGAAAAATGATACTTAATGTAGTTTCAAATGATATAAGAAGCAGTATTTTCAGGTAAAAAATGGACAACCGAAAGCAATTAATTGAACACTGAAAAAAAGTCATTACCAGTACACACTCGTCCATCTCCCCTAAAGCCTTGGTCACATTGACAAGCGTAAGTAGTTTGCAAGTTGCGGCAGGTAGCGTTAGAGTGGCAGAACTGACCCTTGGCACAATAGTCGACTCCTGTTAGCAAGTTAGTGGGACAGAGACAGAAATGGGTTAGTTAAGCATGATGTTTGGTTAGAAATCAAATGATTGCTTAGTTTTCGGTTATTGGCGTTTCAAGTTGCAACATGCAAACGATTTTGGGATGAAATGAAATTTGTCGCAAGAAAAAAATTTCCTCGACTTAACACCACTTTGTTGGTTGGTTTGTTGATGATTGAAATTCGTATTCGTGTAAAAAAACAAAAATTAATTTTCCCAAACGGAAAATCATTTCAGGATGTAAATTTTAAAGGTTTATTATTAGGGCCCATAAATGTAGTATAAGCATAAACAGGCAGTTTTGCATAGCACGTTAAATGATTGATGGCGGAAAACCGAAAAAATATCTGGGGCAAACATGCTTTGTTCTATTCAGAGAGCAAAGAACGGGCCTGAAGATTAATGGAAACAGATTTGTTAAATACATTCATAGGAGGTTACAGTACAATGGTGATTAGATAGGGTTTTGTATTGGAAAGTAGCCGAAGCAAGCACATTTATGTGCATTGATGTTGAGAAAATTAATCATACATTACAAGTTTTCAGCGATTGCGGCTGTTGACTTGCATTTTGTAATATTCAACAAATTTTTTTGTTGGAATTATTATCGACAAGAAGTTAGTAAGTAATTGAATAAAATATTGCGAGTCGGTTACCTTTACAAATTGGACAGCAGCTGCCAGAAACACGAATCTGCTGATCGAGAGCACAATTTAGTTCCGGACAGTCTCTCGGATCGTACACTTTACAGTCCATCGAACCGTCCACACATTTGCAGTCCTTACACTTTTCCACTGTGACTACTTCGTCGTGGTCGTACATCACCCCATTAAAATAACACTGTTCTATAACAAAAATGTGTTCTAATTAAAATCATAAACTTTAAGAAAATGGTCATATTTGGAAGTTTTTTGTGTTCAAACGAGCTCTAAACTTACTTAGGCAAGTTTGGCAGCATACTCCATCCAAAAATACCGGGTGTTTGCAATCAGTGGGTGCACATTCGACCGGGTGGCACGAAATGTTGCCTCCCTGCAATATCAATTAGTAAAATATCCGACTAATGAGGCATTAAGTGAACCCTACCTTACATGAGCATACTTTGCACCCGGTTTGCCAAGTTGATCCATCGGCATGGATGGTGTCGTTCGATTTGCAGGATTTCTGACAGTCACAGTCTTCCACTCTGGTTAATCGCAATTCTGCGTGTGCTAACTAGAACATAAAACTGTGTAGAGCATCAAACATTTTCCGTTGATGTTCATCAATTCATTCATTCTATTGCTTTGAATGATCAATACTCATACATAATATTAACAGCCGTTTTAAGTAACCAACATTTATGACTATTTCACTGCCAACAACACAGTTGATTGGGTTGCTTGATACGGGAAATAAACGAATTTGGCTCTGCATTCAAAAATGAAAAAAGAAACCTACCTACCCTTTGCGATAGCTCCAGGAGTTTGCGTTCTAAATTCTGTACAGCAGTCTGAACAATCAGGAATTGTCCGCAGGTGGGACACGTCACGTCCAGTTGAGGACACACAGCCAAGACTCCATGGGAGCCCTCTATTAATCTCACGTCTTGTAAAAAACCCTAAAACATCCGATTACTTGATTCAACTATCCTCAAATATACCAGTTTTATTTTTTTAAAGATGCGTTTGTTGCCGCAACATCTTCTTAACTTTGGAAATTAATAATTTCTTTTAATAATCCCTGCAGGGCACTGGAAGCATCCGCCTTAGTTTTATCCACCACGATCCAACAATCGTTAAACCGGAACCGATTATATTGTCCACCCAGACAAACATTGGCCACAACTTGTTTCCAATCGAATGCATTCACTTTCTTCATGTCGTTTCATATAACAATAAACTACATTTTTAATGCTCTTGTTTGTACACTATTCCAAACATTTCCGTTACAAGCACACATTTCCGTCACAAGTGCATTTATGGTGCCGTTTATACGACTTTTATCCATTATTATTATTACGCTTATGAACGACATTAGTTATGCCAACAGTTACTAAAATATTCATAGTTTTCCACGCTGTTTACTAAATTTGCTGCTCTAATTTCTCATGTCTGACACGAAAAGTAAACATCATTAGCGGCTGCATAAAAAATATTCGTAGTTTAAAAATTTAACAGTGGTAGAGGGTTGAATTAGAATCTATTGCCTTTAAACAACACTTAATGGCTTTTGCTGCTCGCACCAAACAAAGTTCAATTATCTCGAGTCTCACAGGACATTAAATTTTTTAGATAATGAAGTTTTCAATTAAATTGAGGTACCGGAGTGGAAGTTTCAAAATTATTTAATGCGATTTTGTATGTTTCTCTTTACTGCACTTTTCAATAACCTTTAAAAATAGTTTCCAATAATGTCTGGCTTTGCACCTTATTATTGATTTGGTGCGTGTTTGCAAAATTATACTCTATTTATTGTACCCAAATGGCTACGTATTTCCCAAAAACAAATAGAAATGCAAATGTGTCTAAAATGTTCGTGATCGATGCGATTTCGTGACGACATGCACGTGGCTGTCTGTATAATCTTTAATCGGGATCGCTATGTGATAGTTTCCGCTCTAGACTGTTTTTTGTTTGACCATTTTTCGGTTATTAGCGAGAAAAAATCAAATTAAATACGGGGGATTTCGACATTGAAAACACTCTATCTGATCAATGCACGAATCAAACTTTTTTACAATACACATTTTTATTCTTTGCAAATGTGAAATTCTTTTTTTCTGAACCTCCTTTTCTTGGTTGCTTCTTGATTAATTTTTCTGTGATTTATCAGGTTTTTACAAGTTTGCGGGGTCAAGTTTAGAATAAAACGGACGTTTACAAGTAACTATTGTAAATTGAAACACTTTAACGCTTGCGGTTGAAATAACCACAAAAGAAAAAATCTAAGAGGGTCAAATCTGGCGACCTAGGTGGCCTGTAAACCGCACAATTAATCTATTTTTAAACAGTTGTTTTACGAAATGCAATAAAACTGGTGATGTGTAGTTTGGTGAAAAAATATTCCACTGGGTGTTCAATCGGAAAAGTCTGTTTCACTTCCACAAACTTCCATGAGACAAATTTTGTTTTCTCGTTCCATTACTTACCTTAAAGAAGTAATGATTATGCCTCTGACCAACCCAGATCTGGTGATGATCAGTGACGTTTCTATCAGGCTGTCCTGGCCTGAGAACCGTTTTGTAAAGTGGATGACAATCCACCAAAACTTCGACTTGAGAGCCGCTAACAGTGACCGCTAAATGGTGCCACATGTTATCAGCCAGACGATAATGGAAACTCTCCATGTATATTCGTCTGTCTTGGAGAGATGTGTAGTGTAGCCGGATTTCATTTCTGCGACCGCTTGACTGTACCTGGAAAAAATATTTTCAATTCTAAACCATTATACCAATAGATTTTCAAATCTGTAAAACCAAAAAGTTGCGTATTTTTTTAAATAACGCGATTAATTTACAAAAGCCTGAATTTTTAAAATGGTCAAAAAAGAAAAATGTGCAAGGTCGAGCTTCATTCGTCCACAGTAAAAGATGAGTAACACAGACAGTGTAGTGTATTTGCTTAAACAGCATAACGGATTATTTTCCGATATTTTTCTGGTTTCCTCTACGGAGATTTTTTTAATTTAAAAATTTTAACCTGCAATTAAAGGTTTCATCAACTTTTAATTCCTACTTTCAACGAAACTTCAGCCATTTATGAGAACAAACCGGCTTTCAAATGAAAATAAAGTTTAAATTTAATAGTAACGTGTGTCATACCTCTTCAAATTATGTTAATTTTTTACTAAGACTAAAACCTTCAATTTAAATATTTAAAATTCAATTTAAATTAAACGATGGGACGAAGTTGAACAATGAGGCTGTAACTTCGGAAATTGTGGTTTGTTGCCCCAAATGTTTATTCATTTGTACAATTTAACAGCGCTATAACATGGGTGTGGAACTAAACTAAAGCTCTGATTGCTTCAAGCGTTTTGGTTTCTGTTGGAAGCGTTATTGACACCCATTTGTTTTCTGTTGGTCAATGTTTCGTTAAAAATTAAACATAGCAGAAACATTTTCTACAGGGTGGCAAATGAAAAATTGCAAAATTTAGGCTAGTTCGGAATGCTCTTAGTCGGACATATATTTTGTTGCCTCTTAACACTAAAAGTTTGACGATAAACCAAATAACTCGAAAATGTGTTTTTAGGCATTTCTCTTCTGTTTATAGGGTGGTCTCAAAAAATCAACTTTTGGGTCTTGCTGCGGTAACTGTTCTGCTCTTGGTACGATTTTCAGGATCTGCACAGGAACTTTACAGACAATTTAAGACAAAAGCTGATTTTTCATACTCTGTAAATAAACTAAATGAGCAAAAAATTCAAAAACGTTTTTGAGGTACGACGTGTATCTTAATGCCTGTGCTACTTAAAGACAAAAAACGTTGTTTTATGCAAGTGATAAGCGTGTGAAATTTTTGTCATAATTTTTTCATTGTTTAATTTGCCTCCGTGTAGAAGCTTTATCTGAACTACTAATGTTTTTGCAAAAAAATGCAGCAACCGAATAAGAATTGAACTAAATAACGCATCAGACAGAAAAATCGCACTCAGCAATAAGAATTTATCCAGTTCCAAAATTATCTATTTAATTCCATCCTTAATTAGTATTTTTGTAAGTCAGATTTTAAAGAAATAATTTCGTTATGGGCCCGTATATTTTGGAAAATTGTAATACATGCCAAATGTCGAGTAATTTGAAGTCATAATGTATGTTTGTGAGATCCAAAAAATCACGTTCAATAATGGAAAAATATTCAAATTCTTCCAGGTACACGCAAAAATAAAACGAAATCGTCTATATATCGATTGGCCTTATTACACGCGGCAACTCCTATGCAGGGTTGAGTTCTATTTAATTTTACATTTTTTTAATATCTCGAGCTGTAAAAAAATGATGGTCTATAATTGCTCTTCGTCCAATTGATAAGTTCAATTTTTTTTTAATTACATTTAATTCATGATTGCGCCCTGAAATAGTAATAAACAGGTAAAATATTATAATCAACTAAGTTTTGTTTATTTTCACTTGAATTGAAAAGTTGTTAAGTTTCGTTGCGAAAGTTGAAAAAAAACTTTCAGCTGCAAAAAATTGCTTTATTTTGAACACATTTGAACGTAAATTAGAGTTTAAATTAAAAATGTAATTATTAGTGAGTGTAATGTTTGTAAATTACTATTACTACAACTATTTGTAAGTTTTTTGAGAGTTCAAAACAAACTTAACTTAAAAAAACAATAATGAAGCCTCAGTTTGAAGGTTCTCAACCGAAGTTCTGAATCGCAAAGCGGTTTATAAATTGAAAGCTAACTAAATTTTTTCTGGTTTAAAAAATGGTCTCGAGTGGAACGATTCAATACTGGCAATAAATTTTAATAAAAAAAAAATGTCAAAAAGTCAATTATTTGGGAAAATAAAAATTACCGCCACATTAACCGAAAAATAGTCAATAGTTCACACTTAAAAATCTAGGATTTCTTACCTCTAAAAATCTGATAGGACCATTCGAAACACTAAAAATTGTACCCGTATTTTCAATTTCCTGTCGAAGCCAGGCACCAATCGTAAATTCGGAGCCGCCACGCAAAAGGGCGGCAGCTTCCCGAAAAGCATCCGAAGGTAGCCTAAGATCGTGTCTGTTGCCTAAAAGAAAACTTATTTGTATAAAATCCTTTCAAAAAAACTAAGTCTGGATAAGTATATTGACGCTCATCTCTCATCTAACTTTGACCTGTTGAGCTAACGGATCAACAGTCGATTTAATATTTTCCTTCCATTAAATAAATCAGTCGCCTAAACACACTTTGAGCTATTATATCAATCCATGAAAGCAGAAGTCATAAGTAATAATTCGGCATTTCAACAAGCAATTTGTCTGTAGTTGCATTCCCTCGAGACGCCAGTCATTCGCTAAAAGCCTTAGGCAGCGTTTTACTGTCTGCAATAAACCAGTACTAAATTGTCGTTAAGGCCTTTTATGGGAAAAGGGCTTTATTAGCGTTTCGGCGTTCGATGATCCGGATAAAATCGAATCCAGGTAAACACGACGCCCATCCCTCCTAATGCAAATATTCGGGGGGAGTTTAAAGTTGCATATTTCACTTTCCACGAACCACTAATGGAAATTAGCTAAAGACTAATTTACGTTTGTAATTAATCAAAGCTTTTGTCTGTGTGTATGTGAGTGTTTGGAAAATGGTGGGTGCAACGTGATGGGAAATAATGAGGACTACAGAAATGTAGAGGCGTTTTAGTGCATATTTTAAGAAACACAGCTAATGCTATTAAAAAATCCATAACATTCATCGTTAAGGAGCTTATTTTACACTCCATTATGTAATGATACGGAGCTTTAAGCTGATCCTATAAGGGTCGAGATCAAAACAATTTGGAAGCTGAGTTATTGGAAGCGACGTTAATTTGACGCGGAATTGATTATTGCGACCTGTCCTCCGGCTCAATTTCTCAGTTTCAGTTTCAGTTTCTATCAGTCGAAGAAGATTAAACGCCCCATCAGTTTTGTCGACGTAGCAGCCTCTTATAAGCGCATTTTCTCTTCAGTCTCGAATTTCTGGATCCTTCTTGGTCTTTTTAGCATGTTCACAAAATGTTATGTACTAAACTAACAGAGCAATCGGCTACTGATATATGAAATTTGTTTCTATCGTGGTGATAATTAATTGTTAAAGTTCATACGAGCTAAAAAATAGCCAACTCATCGAAAGGTCATTTACTACACTTTGCTCTGAACTTTTCATTTCGCAAATGGCAGAAGAAATACAAGGTGACTCAGAGCTGTGGTTTGTGGTAGAACAAGCAATGCAAATATGTAGTTTTTTACAATTTACTTTAATTTATTTTTCATTCTATGCTTCCTCGGTTTAACACGTAGCCATAACGTGATGAAAACACTTCAATGCAACACATTTTCTTTTAAAATTTATATCGGTTACTTTGAACTTGTCGTTAATCACATAATAACTTTTTATGACTTAATCATACTTGGGCCTCTAATAGTCAGTTAAGATCAATATCCATTAATTGGCAGGTCAGTAACCAGATTACTTTCAGGCTGCACTGATTATCTTGAAAGTATCGGACCAGAAAAATGATGAAAAGCTGGCAATCATCAGGAAAATTGTTCGTTTTTTTGTAAAGAGCAAATAAAGCTTGACTTTGGTTGCTTGATCCCACAAACGATTCAAAAGCAAGTTACTATTAATCGGTTAAACTCCTTTAAAGATAATAATTACGAAAGTCCAATTAGTTAGCTCCCCAGTACCAAATCGACCCACTTTGATAACATTTCTACATAAACTCATGCCTTTTCGAAAAAAATTACCTGAAGCAAAAACCCACTGGACCGAGTATTCGAGTATATTTAGAAGAATGTGTGTTAAACACTTGAAAAATGGTCAATGAAACGAACATAACTCAAAGTCAGCAAAACGACAGACAATTTCGCGCTGCTGCATTACCGCATATCTTCCAAACATGAATAATTTATGATAAATGCTAGACTCCATCCCGATTTTCATGGGACTTCCTTGAAGTCTATTTTCTTCTAGGGGCAAGACGACAGAAGTAGTGCATTAAGGAGAGTGGAGACTTGAATCGGAAATGGGAACGAGTAATGTCTCAGTCATATACTTGGGGCAACTAGAAACTACTTATTCAAGAACAATGAGGAAGGATGGGGTGGATCCCTTAGACAGTTAGGGTAAGTCAGTAAAAGTCGATTTGTTCGCACTATTCATCACTCAGTTCATCGGCTTTAATTTATATAAAGAGCAGAAGTTAAATTTATTTAAATCAATTAAATTATATAAAAAAAAACGCAGAAATTAATTGTTACTTGAATAGATGTGTCTGAAACCTTTGCAAAACTTTCTGTTTCTCAAGATGTTAATGCGTCGAGATATTCTTCTTTTTCTTGTTCATCTTTTGATCTCTTCCAGTCTGTTCTATACTTCTCTATCTCTGGCTGTTCAAATTCGCTTTCTTTCAGCCACAGCAACTATATCATCTATCCGTCTCTTCAGAGGTCTTGTGCCTCTAACTATGCTTATTTTTGCTTCTCGAGGTCTCCAAAATGTCACCCTGGTACACATCGAGACATTGCAAGACCTAAATGGGTACCTTCTGCGTGCGTTTGTAACCTTTTATCTATCAACTGCGTTTATGGTTTTAGCCAACTTTCCGAAAGACGAAATAGGTAAATACCAATTGAAGAAAAAATATACATATGCATATTAGCATTTTTCTTACATTTCCTTGCTTTAGTCTTCTTTCGTCTGGTTCGCTTCCTAATACATCATTTATTAAATTTTCATACATTTCTACATGAGCGCATACATCAGTTTTTGATAGTTCTTCTTAGAGCGTCCAATTCATTCAGAACTCCTCAAACATGACGCCACCTTTTAGCTCATAATTCAAGAAGCATTTGATCCAAAGAGCTCATTTAACACCACTTGATCGAGCATCAAAATACCCATTTGCTCTGTAAAGCGTTACTTTTTGCACAAAAAGCGAAATTAGTCAACTACATTTTCTCCCGCTGTTTCAACAAAATTAGGCCATCGCTTCCAACACGTGTTCCTCTTTTTGCTCATCTCTGAAGAACCATTTGAGCTAGAGGCCTCGAGTTTACATCATCGCTACTTTTACTAGGTAAGTTGCTTACCTTCCAAAAGGTAGGCCGGCTTGCCTTTGAGGTAACCGGGAGCCAAAGAGATTCCCGTCCATGATACGTTAGACAATCCCATAGCGCCTAATAAATCCATTGACTGAAGCGGGGGTCCTGGAGAGCCGGCCACTGACCCTAGGCCGTTAACTAAAAGAAAAAACAAAATTAGAAATAAAATATTATTGAAAAAAGCACAATGGTAAAGTTTTTAAACAAAAAAACTTAACAAGTTCAGTTTCAAACCCTAGGGAAACCATTGAAACTTAATCTTTCATATTGTTTTCCTCAGACTTAACTTATGTATAAAGGAAGCAATGCCAAGATTCTCAGTTACAAGAGTTCCTCTCAACCCATAAATCGGTACCGGAAACAATGAATTAATCAATTAATCTTCACAGTTTAAGCACAAAGACTTCAAAATCCACCCTGAATTGATCCCCTAATTGAATTTTAGAGTTGAAACGTCTCGTCTTAAACATTTCCCCCTTGAGGGTTTCCACCCCAATAACGTTTAAGTATTTTAACGTCGTCACCAGAGGCGGAACAATTTTCATTAGCTTCATTGAAGGACTTAAACGCCCAAGGTTGATTGGTTTTATCGGTGCATTTTGTAGGTACTTAGAAAATGTTAAACTTTTGAAGAATCGGCTTCAGTCAGATCTGAAGCTGTCGATTGCTTTTGCGAGCGAAACGTCTGGACACAACACTCCTCAAACGCTTTGAAATTGAAGCCGGTAAATAGATTAACAATCACCAACCCTTAATATTGGATATCAATTTTTTTAATAGTGTAAGAAAATTTGCCTTTGTGACTGAAAGAATTACTGTAGCGACCTTAACCAATCAGCTTATAGCTTTTACACACAATTAAATAAGAAGTTTTTTTGCCTAATTACCCAACCATTAAGCGACATGTTATTTTGTAAATAACACAAATTACTTATTAATATTAAATTGGAGAATGTCGTTTTTTTCGGGGTTTTGTGTTTCAAGTAGCAAAAAATTATTTAATAATTAAATAGGCGGGAGTATATGGCTCCGAAAATAAACGTGAATGCTTATACTACAGGAAAAAATAATAATTAAAAACACATATTCTCCAGTCTGTTAGAGACGATCAGAAGAAATGTATATTTATGTAACAATAAAGCATATTTCTAATTCAATGAACGAAGGAAAACTAAACACAAAAGCTATAATGAAAATGCATTTTTTAATGTTGCAAACATAAAAGAAATCGGTGAAAACTCAAAAAATGTATCATAAATATTTTGCTGAAACATCGAGTTTCAAATATTAAACTTTGCTTCTTAACTCGCTTTACTTTACTTTAGTGTCTTTTACTAGTTTTTCCTATTACTTTCAGATCCAAAAACGAAATCCTAATTTAAGTTAATTTTTACTGAAACAAATTTTTCAAAAGCATAATTGTTTTGTTAATTGTGAAAATTTGTTTACTTTATTTGAAAAAAATGTTTTTTTCCACGTTCTCTACAAATCTTATTGACGGCTCTGGCATTATTTTAAATAATAATTTCACTCACATGGCCCCAATTATACATATATTAAACATCGTACGAATCATTTAATATTAATGGCAAATTTCCCCAGTAAAATATTCATATTACATATTCAACTCGATCGTTAACATTATAACAAAAAGATCGATCGTTATCTGCACGTTATTCTATACGGAACATGTAGGCAACTTTTTCATTCACCCCATGGTGGTTTGATGAATTCCAAAAATGACAAATCTAATGTGTATCTTTTTTGTTTTACTTTTGTTTTCAGCTTGTTTCAACCGAATATTGTAGTAATTCTTCGAATATAAAACATATTCAATTAAAATGTTGAACACAGCACTTAAAACATTTAGTCTTGAATAGTTTTCGCACAAAAAATTTATTTGAAGCGTCCATCCGTTTTGTGCAAAGTAACTTAAAACTAGCTGGTTTGCCCTTGATCAGATTTTGTATTATTCTAGTAGATTTTATATCTTCAATTGCCGTTCTGACTTTTTAACTTTGAAAAGCGGTTTGAGCATGGATGCAATGCAGTTCTTTTAATGGTACGCCTATGTAACGAATCTTCAAAACTGCGGGTATCGATTAAACAAGCAAAAATTGAACAAACCATTCTATTAAAGGATTTAGACGACTTCAGATTTTTGTGCCTATTTATGTGATTTCTGAAGAAACAAAGTCTTCGAGATTACGATCCAGTGCAAATGTCCGCAAAACCAGCAAATGAACAGGCATTTTTTCTTGAACAGTAAATGGGTTAATGTAATCAAAACTGAGGAAAGAACGTTTGATTTATAGATTTAGGTTTTTGTCTGCGATTCTAATGTTGCTTTTGAGCTGTTTCTAATTGTTCAGTGATTTTATGACCAATTATTCCTACATTCCATAAACAGACGTTTTTGCCCGATGTTCCCCATAAAACCAGGAAAATATATTCTTCTCTGCCGACAAGTAGGCCATCGTATAATATAAAAATGTAAAGCCGGGGCTTTAGAGCTTTGAGCCGATATTGATTTCCGCATCTTAAGGCGGTCGGATCGCACATCTTGCCATTGATTCTATCCTTTTGTAGCTTAGGCACAATTTAATACCCAATGTTCTCGCTTTGCCATTGTCACCTCAAGGTGCTTTTCATACTTGAAAGTGTTGCATTTTCATAAACCTGAGAATTTATTCATGCCTATTTTCTTGGGGCCATTTCAAATATATGGATGTGAAAGAAAACAGAGGAAAACTGCTTGGGGGATCGTTATGACTCTCTGGAAATGGATGAAATTGTGTATTGTTACAAAGTGATAAATAATAATGTTATGATTCAACTTTAGAAGGTTTTTCAGCGCCAACTTGCACTAATAGCTTTTACTGATTGCAATCATCCTTGTTGCTATTTTTTATCAAAGACATTTTACAAGTGGCTTGCGTGCTTAATCCAGTAAATATCGGGCTGTTGCGGCACATATTTTCCATTGCAGGAACACTGTGGTTAAATCCAGTAGCCAGACTTAGCAAAGAGAAAAATTACGGCTTTTCCATTCCAGACAGGAAGCTACTCATTTGTTGTTTTTTTCAATCAGTCAATTTTATCTCAAATGTTGTTGTTTATGATTTTGGATACTTTTCAAAATACAAGACTGTTGGACTAACTATCTGCTTTCTTCTGAATGTGTAGAAATTTGTTCTTCCCTCATTTTACGTTATCTACTTTTTCAAGTGTTACTGCTGATTTTAACTCAATTCAATGTAATTTCGTTGATAACAATGATCAGTGCGAACATCGCGTGCAACCAATAAAGCCTCTGAACAAGCCCAAAGACAAGTCAGACTCCATTTCAATCGGCGAGTTAATAAAATTGGTGTGGCGTGCTGCTGCAAAACCTTAAGCCTGTCAGTCTAAATTAAAGCACTTTTTTGGCTTATTTTGCACGGATTTACCAGCAGATCAAAGCGACAGGCCACATAAATCTATTGGGAGATAAGCCGCATTATGGGGGCGATCAAAGGCGATTTCTTAGTTAATTTCGTGTCAAATATAAAGCCTCGACTGCGAATTTAGACTATTTAAAAATAGAGATATTAAAAATAAAATCATGATTATTACGCCGTCGTCTCCTGACGGTCTGATCTGATTTTTCAAGTCCGCCCAGTTGCCAATTTTAATTCGACTCAAGTACTTAATTCACCAAATGTTCCAAACTGGAAAGGTTGCGAAAGTTGCCTTGATTTCATCACTAGTTGTGAGCTTAATATAAATAAAGTTTTGAATCCATTTTAGTTTTCAAATTTTGCCTCGTCGTGTTCCAGACTCTCTAGAGAAAAACTCGAATATAAAATCCCTGAAGGCTGTAAAAAGTTTTATTTAAATGTGTTTGCTTCAATAAATTAGATTATTTTCAAAGCGCTTGGGCTACAATCGGAAAAATTCAGAAGTTCTAGACACGCTCTGAAAGATGTACGCTGTTAACATTTTTTTGGGTGTTTATTAGTTAATATATATTTTAAAACTTCATGTTCTTAATTTTGTGATTTTTATTACCTTTTTTTATAGGTAACTATTAGATGAACTTTGGAGAATTTCAACTTGAAAAACTAGCAAATAGTCAAGTTAGTTAGAAGAGAAATTTAAACTTTCGAGCCATCAAAGATTACGGATATAAGTGCACAGATCTTAAAATACGCGTACGTTTAGGACATTTTTTTTTAGTTTTTGACTTTATTTCCCGTATCTCTTTTATTTTCTCATTCCAAAAACTTTCTTTTAGATTAACGTTCAGTCGCTTTGTTGCCTTCACATTGTAATTCTTTTGAGTTTATTAAATAAATTATTGGAATCATTAAATAAAACTTCAAGTGATCTTAGACTACCAAACAATTTTAGAGCTTGACTCAATATTTTGAATTTAAATTAATTTTCGTAAATGCACAACGGATTTAAGCGAACACTATTCACCTATCATAGGGTGGGTCATTGTCTTATGTTTTGGTCCAAGGATTCAATTTTGAATTTTTGTGTTAAACTTGTAAATCACTCTGTATATTAAAATATAAACCCGCATTTTTGCATTCAGCTCGGCTCAAAATTGGCTGGACAATCAATTCACTGACTGAGGTCCTATTGGAAAACCACTTAAAAGTACAATTGAATACAATCCATATTAAGCCCTATCTGAAATTGTTGATAAAAACTGACTCCACATTTTATTATTAAATGTTCCATAAACTTCTGGCAACCGTGTCGGCTTCGAAAATTTAATTATGTCATGATTAATAGAGATTTTGGCAACATTTTATTAAACTGTTTAGATTAGTGTAAATCGGTAATCCATGTAGTAACCGAAAAAACATATTTTTTGATTGTTTATTTGAATGTCTGTCAGCTCGCCTGTTGGTTAAACTCTCTTGATACAGCACACACATAGATAAATTAAATGGTTCCTAGAATGCACCATAAAGTAAATGTGTGCAGATTATATTTAGCTCTTGTCTAGGGTTTGTGGAAAGCGGGGAATACATTTTAACTTTGTAACAAAGTGGAGTTGACTGGGACTTTGAAAATTTGATAACAGCAAATCTTTATCCAGATAATTGGAAACATTAGGATTAAGTAGATGAAACCCAATAACA